GTGTAAACTCGATTATCCAGACTAACTCACAATGTCAAGGCCACACACCACACGTTTCACAACCAAAACATAAACACCGTACCCTGGCTCCCCAGCCCTACTTTTTAACATTTAACCCCAATTCATCTATTTAGTAGACTCCTTATTAGCTTATCAGCAACAGTTTAACTGTTCTGCACAATAAGTCACAATATACTTTACACCACTTACTTAGTTGAACTTATACGCAATCAACTTCCCACCTTCTTACGTCCAATTTCTCAACTCCCCATCTAAACTAAATTATTTTCAATATACAGGTGTTTATGATATAGTGCTTTATTCCCCAAGCAATAATTTTATTACGTTTTGGTTAAACACACCTACCACGTCGGTCGATGAATTGTGGCACTGTCTCAAGTCGATAGTTGGGAGTTCGGGGACAGACAGACATATACGTATGTACACAAGCCATTCTTGTAGAAGTATGAGAGATTATGGCACATACATTTAGAACAATACCTTTTCCACATAATAGTAGATATATATATGTGTGAAATATGCACACATAAAACGACCAGATGAAAGGCACATGGTGTATAAAATTCCATCACTGATACAATACAGCCCGACTGGGAGTTGGTTTGGTTGGTCTGTTGTTTAACACCGCACTAGGCAATATTACAGCTATATGGCGGCGATCTGTAAATATTCGAGTATGGACCAGACAATACAGTGATAATCATTATGAGCAAAAAACGCTACGGAGTTGGGTTACGATGACATTGTCAACCAAGTCAGCGAGCCTTATCACCCGATCCCGTTAGTCACCTTTTACGACAAGCATGTGTTTCTGAAGACCAATCTAACCCGGATCTTCACGGGTAACATGGGGAGTAGGCAAATGTGTAGCTTAGCCCAGTGTTAAACAGAGCTCATAAAACAGGACTCATAAAATACCTAAAGGTATTTAAGAGAAGTTATGGGCGTAATATCTGTATTTGTATAACACGATGCAACGGAGTATATTCTTATCCTCCATCGAGTGAATGAAGAGACTAGAAACTAGGAAACAGAAAGCTAAAGACGTACAGTGATAAACAAACAGTAATAAGATAACAAGGGAAGCCAGTACTTAATTAGCGCTAAATTGGTATGGTGGATGGACAAATGGAAGCCAGGGATTGTTAATCCCGGCATGAATAATGAGATAACAATGGTAGCATTTAACAAGGGAAATGACAATAAAGACATGCAAGCCAGGAATTAATCCAGACCTAGTTAGTGATGTAACAATAAATTAAATGATTGTTATCCTTTTCACAGACTTTTTGAGAGCGCTCATTTATTTCAACGAAAACACACTCGGTTTCTGGTGTTATTGTTGGATTATTGTTTGGACAAGTCAAAGGATTAATTACAAAAATGCCACAGAATTCGAAAGCATGTTCATTTTGTTTCTATACGATTAAACCAAATGGCAATAAAGCCTGCTGTTGGATTAAATCATACGCAGGTTAGACGTCATGTGCAGACAGGGCAGAATTATGTGAAATATCGCTTTCTCGCTCTATCGCTTTCTCGCTCTATCGCTTTCTCGCTCTCTCGCTCTCTCGTTCTATCGCTTTCTCGCTCTATCGCTTTCTCGCTTTCTTGCTCTATCGCTTTCTCGCCTTGGTATATCGCTTTCTCGCTCTATCGTTTTCTCGCTTTCTCGCTTTCTCGCTTTCTCGCTTTCTCGCTTTCTCGTGCTATCGCTTTCTCGTCTCGTGTTATCGCTTTCTCGTCTCGTGATATCGCTTTCTCGCTTTCTCGCCTCCGAATTTTAAGGCGAGAAAGCGATGGCCCTAAGCAGCCACCATAGTCAAGGGAATTCAAGAGCAACCTCTGCTACACAGCTGATACTTTAGTTTAAAATGAAGATGTCTACTTTACAGAGCACATGTTCAGGCATCTGAAACAGTCATGCGTTAGCCTGTTCCGGAATGTCACCGTCTGCATTGATAAGGCCTTTCAAGGAGGTCATCTGCTGGTGACTGACCCATTCTTTAAAGAGATTGGAATAATAAACACGATTGGACCTTTATAAATGTTGGCTATGTTTCAGTTGCAGTTATATATTAAATATTTAATGGGTTGCAATGACATTAAATATATAGCTACGGGTGGTTATTTCATCGTTTTGTTTCTAAAATATGTATTTCAAACTGGTGATTAATAATCATAGATATAGTAAGTTCATTATGCCTGACCGGTAAATGCCGTGTGTTGTTTTAACTAAATGTCATTTGGTAGCTTTAATTTGATATACTGTAATCACAAAGGCATGCAACCATGTCCCCTTTCCTTGATGCAGATGCTGGCATTTCCCTCTGGAAACAATGGTATGGGACATTATCCATAACAAAGACAGATTTATAAGACAATATTGGGATCAGCTGTTCTTTGAAGTATCCCATGACATTAGCTCCGAATGATACTGATGTGATCCCGCGTGCAGCACGGATAAGTACCCATTTCGTAGAGGGTAATGTCCAAGTAACTCCCCACTCCTGAAAATAATGGAGCCGAGGCCCTACTTAAATCATATTCAAAGTATTCAAAAGCCAAATGTAATGCAAAGAGTAAGAACTATCAAAGTCTTACATTTGAAACTGATACACATCGCTCCGATCCTGAAAAACAATTGAGCGAGCAGACAATGGAATGAGGTCACAAATGTAATTTAACAGTGGGTATCTTACGACTTTGATAATGATCTGGGTGCTGTCGTAGATAAAATGATGTGTACTTAGCATTAACTAACCCACGTTTTATCCAACCAGCCTGTTTCATAAACGTTTTCCCCCTTTCCTTGGACAGCCCTGAGATACCTGGTTCTCATAGAAATAATATCCCAAAGTTCACAAAGGGACAGACTTGTAACTTAGGCGGTTGTATTTGTAACCCAACTTCAACAAGAGTTAACTTCACCGATAGTGTACCTAGACATATTAATATCATGTTCTTCTTTAAGTATTTTCCTTAATTTTCTGAATGAAATAATTTCATTTGATCTGTGTCATCGAGGAATAACGTCTTTAATGACACGTTTGTCGAAGTCATCAGTTTGATCCTAGGGGTATGCGTTGGCACGTTCCCTGAAACGGTTTCACGTTCATCCGTGGATAGTTCATCCTTATGAGGGGAGACAATATTAAAAAAGATGTTTTCCTTAAAACACTTATTGTCTGTAGAGTTCTTTTATGACATCGTTCAGTGATATCAAAGGGCTGCCCACTTTTGATTCTTGTTTGAGTAAAATGTAGACATTTCGCATGGTGCCTCGGGCATCATTTGACAGCATATTTGATGGCAAACTCACACACTGCACTGACCCTGATCAGTAAAGTCAGCTTGACCCAAGGCTTAGACTAACGCTTAGTCCCTGAATATATTTAATTTTGATAGTAACAAATAAGCCCATTTAAATTGAAAAGGAGCCCCAGTGAGGTGGAAGATTCTGAACCTGGGATAATCTAGACTTGCTTCATTTAGGGCTTTAGCATTGCAGGGAGGGCTGGGCATTACGGAAAATAATGTGGTTCAGGACTGTGAGACAGACTACCCAAGGCCGTGCACGCAGGTAGCAAGTTTGACACACGGCTCTGTCAGTGTTGACAGACATTCAGCCAGTTACTGTCACCGCCCATGAGGGAGACACAATCACGAAATTACATGATAACAATGAAGGGACAAATGTGGATGACAAACTAAAACTAATTTTTCTATTTTCATCTTATATCAACATTCTCATACGAATTAAATCGCTAAAACTGGGAGGGGAAAGTAATGCTGACAACGTATAGTATCCTAGTATAATTAGGCGTTTAATAGACTGCCCTTGCAGACATCAGCTTTCAAAACAGCCGGTTTTTCGCCTTAATAACCACTTCCTCGTTCGTACCACTCTCCCCTTTCCGTAACCTCCAATAACACGAGCTGGTCATGAATCAAATTTACTGTTACTAGATAGATAGATAGATAGGGGCTTTCACAATCTGTAGGTTTTCCTTTAGCCGACGGCGTCAGCCAATGGATGAAGAGTTCAGATTTCAAAGTCAAGACAAATGTCTTAGCCGGAGGCGTAATATTTCTGTCAAGGTGTCTCTTGTGTCCTGTTATTGCATGCATTATCCCGTAAAGTAAACAGCGGAATACCGCCGGTGTATCAGGCAATTGTTTGCTGCACGTTCCTTTCATGTATGTATCACAGTTCGGCAATTATCTCTTGCACGTTCCCTTCATTTACGCATCACAGTTCGGCATAGTTTGCTGCACGCTCCCGTCATTGTTTGTATCTCACTTTCGACAATTGTGTCAGATACGTTCCTTAATTGTATGCATCAAATTTCGGGCATTGTATGTTGCACATTTCTGTCCCTGATTTGGCAATTTCCTTTCACTGCACCTGACATGTCATCGTCGTGGTATTATGCTTATTACTGCCATTGAATGTAACGGGTTATTGTACTTTTATCCAGCATATTCCCGTCATTGAATTTAAAAAAACAAATTCAGTCATTTGACGGAGCATATTCCCGCCATTATAAGTAATTGGTGTCATCCTTGCATTCAGCATTGTCTTGTATGTAGCTGGTTGTTAGCATTGTATTCAGCGAATTATTGTATTTGTATGCAGCGGGTTGTCGTGATTTATACAAGAGCCCTGCTCTATTGACAACAATAGTTACCAATCATCGTTTATAATAGCCAACCGACATTAAATATACATGTATAAGTTAACTTGCGTATGGAAACCTTGACTGAGTGGCATTCAATATAGTCACTGGTATGTAGACATGGGATACCCTAATAACCTTGACGTCACAGTGCGAGAGTTCTTAGAACTAACCAGGATATCATACTGCAAGATGATAATGAGATCACTGCGACGTCATAATAGTGTCATAACGCTGTCACAATGCAACATGTTCCTATCCTCATTATGACGTCACAATACACAAGGTTTATTTACTCACCATGACGTCATACTGCAACAGGTTCATGAATCTGGCCACAACAACCCCGCGGTACTTGTAGAACCACAACGTCCCCGAGAACTCGTCCCCTGCAGACAGGAGGATGGTGTTGGGATGGAGGGAACGCTGTTCACGGACCTTGGTCACCAGTCGCGCTGTCCCCCCAAAACATTTCCCTTCTGCCACATCGTCCACCCCACACTGACCGCTGTACTTGTTGGTCTGCTCGAATCTTGCGTGGATGTCGTTGGTGTGGAGGATGGTGAGGTTGAAGCCGACGACCACAGACAGGGAGACGACGTAGAGTGAAAGGAGACACAGCGAGCGGGTCATGATGGCCTCTTCCAGTCAGTTTATTCAGATTACCCGTCCTGTACTCAGTAGTAAAGTAGGACACCGTCGTGACCACAACCAGTTGGTGCGCTATCCGAGCCACCTAGAACAACATACTCGACAATGTTCTCACAAGGATTGTGTGTCTGGCAGCTATGCGTTACGTGTCTAACTATGATAAGGATAAATCAAACACGGTGCTCTTACCGTGCCACGCCTACATATTATCCCGAGAGAACCAATGAGATCATTCCATGCTGCTCATCTATGTTACAATGTAAACACTTATCCCACCCATGTTTACGTTGTAAATCGTTAATATCGACAGTAGATTGACATTTATGAGAATTTATGACGCCCTCTACCCAAGCAACATGTACGACATTCAAGCAGGTCAAATGCATGTACGTAATGACAACCCAACGCTCATCTATGAACGTTAACATAATTCCGTTTTAATATTTGACACCGTATTAGTACACATACCAAACACCAGAAAAATCATAGTATCCTAGATCCAAGTGGAAGAAAATAGCTTCAATCAAACACAGTTGTGTCCAACTTTTTTTGGTAGTAGTTACGGTTTTCTCGAAGTAATAACATGGTCTTCCTTATTTAGTCATCCTTTTCCGGTTTTGTCGAACCTCAGATAACTCGAAGTATTTGCCCTGTTTCCTTCAACTTTACACTATACGGTCAATCACCGTTGTGTACAGATTTCCACTAATATAGAATACACAGAGTAATCTGATTACATTGAATTTGGTTGTTTTTATATACACGATGCCCATGTTTACATTTTGAAACATGAACACCCGAGGAAAAATACCCGGGGACAAATGATAGGTTCTGTTATAATTGTTCCTAAATTCAAATTTTAATGGAAATTATTTGCACAAAGTTCTCAATATTAGAGCCAGCAACGTATTTTTGTACAGTAACATGCATCACGCATATCTTTGTATCCACCCTTTTCTTTTGCAATCATAGTTGATGAAAGTCTAAAAGAAGTGCTTTTCAGAAATAGAATCAAAAGAGTTTATTATTTCATTCATTCATTCATTTCATTCATTCATTCATTCATTCATTCATTCATTCATTCATTCATTCATTCATTCATTCATTCATTCACCGTATAAATGGCAGTGAGGCAAACAGTACAACATGTGTAATATATGAGCGAACATACATACTGCGCCACTAACAAAAATGCATTTGAATGTAGCATATTACATTTACATGTACATTATTTCTTAGTTTAACACCTTATCCATGAAAATACAAAAGTTAATTAGCTTATCGTTATCAACCTTGGTGAACAAGCAGATCAGTTTATACATATTTGGGTGGTAATAATAATAGGCTGGAAATAATTAAAACGCAAATCGTTAAAAGCTGGGCATATACCAGAATGACATGGAGTTCGTCTTCTAACTGTGCTTTATAATAAGAACAAGATGTATCTGATTTTTTGTAATATTGTTATAAGGTTTAAAAAAGACATTTGTGATACTTTCCTTGTATAAAAAATGCCATTTTAACCTTATAACAATATCTATAAGAGTTCATATCGAAACCACGTACATTACAACGCAGCTTTGTCATTCATTAGAATCAAGAGATCATTTACATATTAAACATTTTGATGACAATGATATCAGCGATCTTATAAAATTACCTGTTCAAATATACGGTGCTTAAAAATAAAAGGAGTTGGAACGGTTACTATGCTCCGTGCAACAAAAACTATGACTAAACTAAAACTAATACCTAAGATCATCCATCCAGTTGCCAACAGTATTATTATATAGGTAATGACAACTACTACTCTCATCAACACAAGTAAATGTAGACTATGAAAGATGTGAAGTGTCAGTAGCCGGAAGGCCCGGCGATTAAATTCGCCGAGGTGGGGACGTCCATTGTATGTATTGCCTCTTCAACAGTGCATACACGGGAATAGTTGTAATTGGAATAAGTATCATCAACACAGTAGTCGTAACCTACTTTCTAAGGTTATAAAAGAAGCCCAGCAAATACAGGGCTTCAAGTAATCCTTATCCTTCCCACATAAGTATATACGTACCTTGAGACGGAGCAATAATTACCACTGCACGGAAATATTGATTTGTTTGCATTTGAAATAGCTCGGGAATGCATTCAAGTGCGTCTCTCTCCATTGATTTTTCGTGGTCCTTTATGTTCAATTTAATTGCTTTCTATTTGAATAATTTGAGATAAGGATCTTGTTCGTGAAATGACCGTTACACGTAGTTGGTAAAGCAAAACATTTAATAATATTGTTTTTCTTCTTAAAGGGACCAGAGATGGAAGGAAACAGCGTTATGACATCACATTATTGTACTTGTTGTTTCTCTGTCTGGCGCGCGGCTCTAGGGGATAAAATAAGCTCGGGGTCAGTCCGGACAAGAAAGTAAACATGCGTGAACGTTGCTGCAAAGGTGTAAAATCGGGAACACGGCGTGCAATCCCATTTCACCTCGCCGAGACTGAACACTTACACAGTGCATAGTTTTCATGCCTGGTCACTATCTACATTAATAGATTTTAGACGTAACTTCTAACTGATATTAATCAACTATGTCAGCGGATCCGACAATCCGATCCCGAAAGTTGCCTTTAAAGACAGGCATGGGTTGACGTAGGCCAATCCAAACTGAGTTGAACATATACTCTCCCAAAAATGAAACGCATCATGAAAATAGCAATTTCATGTAGCAATGAATTAAAACCTGATTCATTTTACAAAAGGTTTTGCTCTGTTTGAGTCCTATGGTGTTTATGTTTTGAAACATCACAACAAAACGCACCATCCGTAAAATACCCGTATTTAACAGCATGATGTTCAATTTCGGCGTGTAGTGTTACAGAATACACAATTCACATGCAATGCACGTGGAAGTTGGGTATCAGATAGTCTCAATGATGGGTATAAAAGGTTGATCGCTGTCTGTCGATTATTCACTGTATTTGGAATATTGTTGACGAACGCAAAATGCCACGTCTAAGTGAAGCCAACCGTCATATCGCCATTGGTTTGCTTGAAGCTGGCCAGTCTCAACGTGCAGTTGCCCGACGCATGAATGTTCACCAAAGCACCATTTCACGGCTCTGGGAGAGATATCGCCGGCAGAATGTGGTTGCAGATGCCCCTCGTAGTGGGCGACCTCGAGCGATCACTGCGGCGCAAGATCGCTACATCCGGGTACATCACCTGCGTCATCGAACAGCTACGGCGACCAGTACCGCTCGACAAATACCCGGATTGAGGAGGCTTTCTGCACAGACCGTCAGGAACAGGTTGAGAGAGGCTGGTTTACGTGCCAGAAGACCTTATTTTGGCCCTGTGCTTCGACAACAACATCGTCGACATCGAGTTCAATGGTGCACCAACGTTCAGGCCTGGAACCTACCGAATTGGCGTAGAATCTGGTTCAATGATGAATGATTTCTATTGGAACGTCGCGATGTAAGAATGCGGGTGTACAGACGTCGACGTGAACGTTTCGCTGACGCTTGCGTTCCCCAGGTGGACAGATTCGGCCGGGCCAGTGTTATGATGTGGGGAGCGATCACCTGCCGTAGGAGAACTGATTTGGTGATGATCCAGGGCAAGCTGACAGCTCAACGGTACTGTGACGAAATCCTACGCCCACACCTCCTTCCAATCATTGATCGCCAGAGGGAGTTGTTTCAACAGGACAATGCCAGGCCCCACACAGCACGTCACACTAGAGACTTCCTCCACAACCACAACATCAATGTGCTCCCCTGGCCCTGGCCCTCACCGGACTTAAACCCGATCGAACATCTGTGGGATGTCCTGGACAGACGGGTGCGACGCCGTAACCCTCAGCCCCAGACACTTCAGCAACTCGCACAGGCACTACAGGCAGATTGGGCTGCGATTGGGCAACACGAGATTCTGAGACTTATTCGTTCGATGCCGAGGCGATGCCGTGCAGTTCTGGATGCCCACGGTGGTCACACGAGGTATTGACTTCAGCGCCACCACACGTCTCCATGTGACACTCAAACTGACTTTCCTCGAGTTGGTGCCAAAGACGGATAAGTCTGCATTCCCAGTGTGCAATTTCGCTATACTTCATTAAATCATAAAGCCTACAAGATGTTTCAAAATAAACATAAAAATACAGTTAAAATTCCTATATGCGTTTCTTTTTGGGGGGAGTATATTTTATTCAATTTTGAAAGGGATTGGGCACAAGCTATGTAACTTATTACCGCCCACTCCCATCAGAAACATGAACAATAATGAATGGACATAATGAATGGGCATAATGATATTAAGACATATTATTCATTAATCGAAGCGCTTACTTCGTACAATGTATTTATGCACATGTCTTAAGATATTTTCATCCATAGTATTTGGCAGAGCAGGGTTGGCAGAACAGGGTTGCCGTAAAGAACGGTATCAATGTAGCAGTACATTTGTAAATAGTATATTGTTAGATTTTAATCATCATAGTAAACTTATATGAAGTAAATTAATAACCTAAACCTAAGTATTTAATAACCTAAGCCAAGATATTTAAACTTTACTTTCCTTAAATACTTGTGTTAACTTCAGCACTTGCACAAATCTACTAACTCATAGGTAAGGCCACATGATTGTTTTGGTCATGTGGAGTGACTGCTTCAAACTTTTGCTGGTGAGTCAGCCTATTTCTCCTTTCTGCCAGTGAGCACATTCTCTGCACAAGATCACATAGGGGCTTATCACTGTACATCGATCACTCATTCCAGCCTGCGTTCCTGAGACGAGGGCAGATCTGGACTTCCATTTGTCCAAATAAATCCATCGAACCACTACAAGTACTCCCTTGTTTCTTGAGATGACATGGGTACCGCTGTCTAAGTGAACTTTTGATAGTTCAAAGTCTTGCTCCAGATCAAACCAGCAGCTGACAAATTTTGGACATTTTAAAAAGAAATGGTTAGCATCTTCCACAATTGCAAGCTTTACTCTCGGATAAATTAACAATCCAAACCGGGATCTTCAGCAATCTTTTACAATGTAAAATCTTACTGAAGTTATTACTTCTTCATAAAAATGACACAAACTTTGATGAACATTCTAGCATACTCTTTATTTAGGTTTAAACTTTCAAAACGT